ATTAAACCTCGAGTCATGTTTCTTACACAACGCCTCGGTTTGTGGTTTCATTCTGGGCACTTTTTATTTTTACTTTCGATACACTACCCCAATACTTGACAAGCGCCAGTATTTTTACTTGTATTGACATTTACTATCTGTCAATCTTTTTTTATTTTTAAATATTGATTATTTATATTCAATTTTTATTTGTTTAAACAAAAGTTATTGTTCGAACTTTTGTTATGAATATTTTCAATGGGTTTAATTAACTGCGGTAATTGAATAATTAAAAATACAATTACATCATTAAATTGTAATTTATAAACTGTGGAGTGCATTCAATTAATATTTAATTAATTTTTGTTATTACAAATGTTAGATGACACTTTTTGGATTCAATTAGCGAAATTATCCTGGAAAAATGAGAAATGCCAAAGTATGGTTTATAAAAAATGCTCATTTCATTTTCTATTTAATTACTCACAACATTAATTATTTGTAAAAAAATAAATCTCAGGTTAAAATTTTGAACTATTATTGTTTTCATAAATATTTTTGAAATTTAAAAATATCTCATAAAAAAAAATATAATTACAATCCTAACTTTCAAAATTTTCTTATGAACACTAAGCGAATCCCTAATCAATTTATTATAATAAAGAGACTCTGTAATTATTAAAGGAAGTTTTTTTTATTTGACCCTGAATATTATATTTTATATAATATCTAGAAATCTTCAAGAATAAACTGTTCAATTATTTATTTAATCTAGATATTTAGTTAGATCTGTATTGTTTTATTTACTATGATTGGTTAAATCGTTTAATTTGTATACTATTGTCATAATTTAACTTTTATATTTAACATTGTTAGTTAATATGTTGTAAAATTTTCAATACTTATAAATACTTAGTACTTCAATTTTGTTAGTATTTAGGTATAGCAAATAATTATTGTATAACAAACTGTTAAACAAAATTATGGACATGATTTCTGAAAATTGCCATCTGGCCAAATTGGCTTTGGCATAATAATAAAATTAATCTAATCTAATATTTTCGTCAGCTACTTAATTATAAATATATATCACGAAATAAGCTATTGAATAAAATAATATTGTGTTATTTTTGATTATCGAACCCTATCGTTAATGTTGGAAATATTTAAACGATAAATCGAGTAATTATATTTAATTTTATTCCTTTAATACTCAATTCGACTTTGAAAAATTTTTTTAATTATTATTATTTCTACTTCGAAGAAAATAAAAATTATTAACTCGAGTATGAATTTTCTTGGCTCAAGAAAATATTAAGGAAGACTAAAAATTTCTTGGACGAATTCAAAATTTCTTGAGCCAAAATAATTTGTTCTTACACCAAAATAAATATAGTCTTCCTTAAAATTTTCTTGGCGCGAGAAATTATTTTTTTCTGTGTATATTTCAATATTGTTTGTAACAATTAAATAAAAAATTTTTTAATCTTATGAAAATTTTGTAATTCGTGTTCATAACTTTAAAATTTTTCTCATAAGAAAAATTTTCCCCGAAAATTTGAGTTTATTTTAAAGAAATATCAAAGATTTATAATTTTATTGTACCTGCAATTTTTCTCTCACGCATACGCCGCCATAAAGCTTCTGCTTTTCGCATCGGCCAATTTTCCACTTTGGCGCTGAAACTCCGAAAAAATTTGTACTCCTTAAATGAAGACATTCTTCGAGGATTTATTCCCGATGTGTCTTCAATGTTAGCTGATGGCGCAGGTGATGCGCGGGATTTTATATCTTCCGTCGACATTTTTAGTTTATTTATTTCAAGTATACAGTCAAATAAATAATCACTGACTTATTTTTTAAATGTTTAAATAATTTTTTTAAATAAATAATTTATATCATTGTTCATCGTTGTATCACAGATTATATGGCACCATTTATCCGATTTAATACTGACTATAATCAATAATTAAAATATTATTAAAAAAAGAATATTATTAACCATGAAACGGGACGTACTAGTTAATTAAATATTTTTTTTATTAATTGAGGAAAATTAGTTGCGAAAATGAAATGTGTGAGAAGAAAAAAATTAAATAAAAACGGCAAAAAATTGTCGGATAACTTTGGTAAGTATGTGAGAAACTAATAAGCTCGTATCGCATATTAATGCGAGGATTTAATGAACGACCGAGCGAGCAGATGGGTTACGCTAATTATAGTTACAATTTTGTGTATGAATATCAGTAAGTAAATTAATAATCAGAATAATGTTTTAATAATTTTCATCATAAACTTTTCAACTGCAATTTAAAATTTATGTTGACATTTAATTAATTAGTTTTGTAACTTTTACAGGGAAGTTCGTGGTAAATAATCGATCAATTTTAAATCAAGTCAGCAATATCACCGTTGATGTAATAATAACACTTTTGACTATTGACTATTGTTCTGTAAAATGAAACTCGAAATTGAATTAACGGTAATTTATTTTTATTACCGACACTTTTGACGATTATTAAATTTAGCGATTTGGTATTTTGTATTCCGCTCTTTTGGTGTCAAGCCAGAGAATATAAAAAAGTATTAAATAAAAAGATTACACGAATAGGCACTGTCTTATCAGGAAGTCGCGCTTCTTGAATTTTTATGCCCTAGTTATGTGAACGCAATGATAAATAGCACACATTTTACAGTGTGAATTATTACTGTCTATTTTTTAATAAGTATTTGATGCTTAAGAGTTGTAATTAATTAAATGTAAATGAGAAATTAAAAATTCAAGTATTTATAATTAATGCTTTCTCATTTATGATAACTCGAGATTTATTACTATAAATATTTGAAGCTTATTTATTGTAGATAACTTGTGATTTATTATGTACTAAACCACCTGTAATATTTTGTGTCAAGGTTTGTATCTAGTTTAGCAGAAATAATTGAATAATTAATTTCATTAATTAATAAACGTTCAATAATGATTTAATGGAGATAATTAAATTTTTTTTTGATCGTATAAGGTTAATAAATTGTCAATAATTACTTTTTTTTCTATTAAAAAAATTAGTTAATGATTTATTTGAGTTATAATAAATTGTAAAATATATTTTTATTTATTTTTCAAGCACTGTGTTATAAAAAGCTTTATTTTGTCAAGTGTTCTTTCTTCATGTAATAAGAGATCAAACAATTTTTGATGAATGTATAAGCAAAACTTGGTAATAAAAGTATAAATAATTTTGAAGAAATAATTCAGTATTAAAAAATTAATCAAAGTAATTTTTTATAATTTTCGTCAAGAGATCGACGATAAATTATAATTGTAGTTAAAAAATTATTTATTTTATTTTTTGGTTCAAAATTTTAATTTGTATTGATGAAATTATTTATAGCTCTAAATAATATTTTCCCAGGGATTATTATTATAATAATATGAATTAAATATGTAAATTAAATGATAAATAAATAAATGAATGAATGAATAATTCAAAGTATAAAAATAAACTAATGAAAAATGACAATATTAATAAATCCTAAAGCATAAATAATATTACTTGGTATGTAATATCAGAAAACTAAATACATAAGTGTATTAAATGCATAGAGTAAATTTTCTGACAAGATTAAATATTTGAATAATTAACTTTGCTTAATACTCCATTTAATGTAGGTTATTTGCATTACTATACAAATTATACCTATTTATCATTGTACTTTAATAATAAAAATAATAATAATAATAATAATAATAATAAAATAAAACGAAGAAATATCTTCTAATGTTCGATGATAAATTGAATTTAAATAAGTTATTAAACACTTGATTAAAAATAAGTTAAATAGAGAAGGTGTTTTGTTGAGTGTGAAACGTCTATATGTGACGGTTCGTCTATTAGAAAATAGCAATTTAACTACTGGAACTAGTGTTATTCAACGTTTACTCGAATTAATGGCGCTCTAAGTGAAAGCAATAACAAGGAGCAACGTCAATACACAAAAGCTGAGAGAAATTGTTCATAACAATGAGTGAAATGGAAAAACTCGAAAGTTTTTAACTCAGTTATTGTTATAAATATTTAAGTTATAAAAAAAAAATCAAACAGACTTTTAGCGTCTGAGGAAATTCCGCTTACAGAAGTTTTAGTTTTTAAAGTAGTTAAATATGATAAAAAAAATATATCTAAAAATAAAAGTAATTTATAAAATATCTCTCACTTAAAGAATAATAGACCCAAGGCTACCGTTTTTATTTTTTACTTTTAAATTATATTATTTCGCTCAATGATTTCTTCACCTCGAATTAAGTTAAGTACTTTGATGTGATACTTTTCAGACCTTATACAATATATAATTAAACAACTTTTTTTATCTTCCTCTTTTATTATCTTATTTATTTTTAAACCTTTCACTTAATTTAATAATATTCAACAAGTTCACGAGAATAATTATTGTATTGCATAATTTTTTTTATTTTAAATTACTTTGACATAAAATTCTTTAATTGAATTTATGAAAAAAATAGCGTGATTTTTTTTTAATAAATAAGTGATTAAAAATAGAAAATCACTCTAAAAATCACATCACGTCTCGCGGATAATGTTAAAGTTAAAATAAAAATGTAGATTGAGTTTTAAAAAGAATGAAAGCAATGGAATAATAATTGATGGGATTGAAGTATAAATCAAAGGTTTAATTACATGGTCGGGCGATAAAATGTGGATTTTAATAATAATTAAAAATCAGCGGACGTATCGCGTGAATGCTACGTATAAACTGCGGGACTATCCGACGACGGTTGTGATAGCGGCGGTACGGAGGAAACTCAAAGCCTCCTCGTTGAATACCGAAGCGCATGGAGAATCCAGGCGCAGGCGTCTCAATAGCTTTTTGTCTTAAACACACCTGGGTGTCATCGTCAAAGGATACAACACACTGGTTATGTCTTTATTGACCGAGTTTAAACCATTCACTTTCATATTTATAATTAACTCTATAATAATTATTCATTATTATTTTAGCTTTTATCTTATATCTTTTATAAAACATTACATTATTTATTAATATCTTTATTAAAATTCATTTAACATAAATAATATTTTGCTACCCACTCTAATTACCAGCATTAATTACAACCCTCAAAATCTTACCTTGTCTTACGCAATCAAGCTACAGCTTGAAACTTAAAACTCCACTTTAAGGGTTGTCTTCATTTGAAAAATCTTTTCAAGATTATTATCCATTTATTCTTTATAGTTTTTTTTTATAAAATTATTTTTTAACTTCTTAATTACAACTTTAAATAGGTACAAATTAAATCTTTTATTATCACACTGAAAAATAAAAATTATTTTGATTTTAAAAAAAATTTTTTGCTCAGAAATTTTCTTGTTCGAAACCCTTGAAAATAATTTTCTTAGTTCAATAATTTTTCTCTTGAATCAAAATAATTTTTTTTTTTGTGTAGATTTTTTCACTTTTAACCCGTTGAGGTGACGAGGGGTCCAGTGGACCCCAGATGAACTTCGATGAAATTTTCAATTTAGAAAGAGATTTATAAATGAGTCTCATTCATGACTGATTTTATTGACATTCTTGAAGATAATTTTATTTTTTTATTGTAATAATTATAATAAAAGAGTTTTATGACAAAAAACTAAATCTTTCTATATTATTTTGCATGTTTAAATGTCTTATTCTCATTTTAAATGACTGACTGGAAATTCGTAACTTCAAACTACAGAATAAATATATTTTTATCAAACTTCATCAAATATTGATTTTTTTCCTTAAAATATATCGTTTTTCGATTAAAATGGCGTCGGTTTTTTTTTTTTTTTTTTTTTTCAATATCGTAAAAATTAAAATTTCTGCGGATTTTATTATGAAAAAAATTCAATTTCATAAGTTTTTTTTTTTTAAACAATTTTTAGGTATTTTTAAATTATTAGAAATTAAAAATAACTATTAAGATATTTAGAGGGAATGTTGTATTAAGGTTTGGTGCCAATTGTAAGTCAATACATCACATATTCCGTGTGTCCTCAACAAATTACAAAACTATTTCGATTTGATCAACGGGGAAAACCCCATTGTCGTTCAGAATAATATAGTTTTTTTCAAACTTCTAGATCATGACTCAAAATATCTTGGGAAAACCATAAATTGTCAAGGTCATAAGCTTTAAATTTTCAGAAAAAATTTTCAATTTCAAACTATAGTCTATATAATTAAAAATAAGTAAATAAGTAATTAAAAAAAGCAAGACTTAAATTTGAACCTTTTCATAATTTTATGTTTTTTTGACGATAATTAATAATTAATTCAAAATTTTAGAGTAATTTTAAATAGTTCCTTAGTTCTATGAATTTATACCGTCACATCTTTAATTAAATTCTTCATAATTAATTTTATGACAGCGATATTAATTCCAAAATTTATTTCAAAGGTTGAATCAAAAATCCAGACAAAGAAATATAAAATAATAGAAGTAGAATTAATATAAATTAAAAGATGTTTAGCTTTTATGATTCAGGCTTTATATCAATATCAAAAGATTTCAATAAAGATCTGTGCTGTAAGTACTAACTAAAATTTTATGGCCTTTTTATAGCATCAACTAAATTTTTTCTACAATGTAACGTTTTATTAAGTTGTAATAAATATTTTGACAATATGTCACTCAGTCTTTCAATTGAATAATAACGTCACAGTGCTTCTTTCTTTCTCAAGGATAATTGTCTGTGAAATTAATTGTACACGGATGATATAAATCTTCTTAATGCTGCATAAGCACAGTCTCAAAGAAAAATATGTAATTAAAAATATTATAGCAGTAATTAATCAAAATATTGAATTTTAGTTTCTTTAAAAACGAAACTTTAATTAGTTTGTTATTCTCAAAAGTTAATCAAAGTCTTGAAATGAACTATTTATTTAAAAATAAGTTTTAATTAATATTTATATCTTCAATATTTCTACGTTTTGACTTTCGGTAATAATGTTAAGAACGTTTGATTACTAAGGGTGAATCTAATTAGATTCCATGAAAGTAATTAAGTTTGTAAGAGATATTTTGTGATATAAAATATTTAATATTAATATATTAAGACAAAATTAAAGTCCAGAGGTTTAAATTTCTGTAAAACTAGCTCGATCTTTTGTGTAAGTATTTTTGTAAAAAGATATAGTTATTTCCTTAGCTTTGAAAAGTAAGTACATGATAAATAAAAGATCTAAGATATTCTAGTGAAAAGAAATGCATTGTTGCTCCCATTTCTTCGGCCTTCCCCCATACGGATTTTTATAGAATAGGGATAAATTTAAACACGGTATAGCTCAAAAATAATTTATGTTAAGTATAATGGCATATGCTAATTTAAAATCGTGTTAGAATAACCAAGTGGTCGGGTCGCATCAAACTGTATCACTACTGTGTACGCTAATGTGTGTAATAATGTTGTGTTGTGTAGCAGCTTTTACTCGCCACGTGCAAGGAAGTTATATTGCATAATGCCAAGTCAATGTCCGTGAATATTTAAAGCTTTAAGTATATTACGAGACCTCTATTTTTAATTTTAAAGGTTTTATTTTATCTTAGTTAAGTAATTCGCAATGATAACTTAAAAATTCGACATTCAATTTCCGTGTTTTTATTTTTTTACCTCGAGTTATGCGTCATTGGTATCATTTTGACCTTTAAAGAAATGTCTATGCAATATAAAATGAACAAACAAATAAAATGTAACTCATTTTTTTTTTATTGCTAACGCGAAATATAGAATCCTGGGTGGATTAAATCAAATAACGCGTATAGTAGAATTGAAATTGCATTTTTTTTTTTTTTATAAACAAAATATATTTAATTCCTTTTATAGAACGCAAAATAAATAATACTTTTGTAATTTTAAATAAATTAAATTACTCACCAGATAGCTGGTAGTCGGGCTGGAAGTGAAGCGGCGGGATCTGTAAAATAAAGCAAATTAAACTGATAAATCTCTTTGAAGCTATTAGGAATAAAAGTACGTGAAAAATAGTAACTTCATTTTAACTAACGTAAAGTAATACAATATTTATCGTGAAAATTTAGCGGCGGATTTTACCCAGAGTTAAAATATTAATGCTGTTACTCTAGACTATGAAGATATTGAATTATGACCTTTAACAGTTTCCCGATTTTTCTCTCCTTTTTTTTTCATTCCTCGGTTGCTATTATTATGGTTATATTAATATTTATTTTTATTTATATTTTTTCCTTTGTATTTAGATATTAAAAAAAAGTAACCAAGGCCACAGTGTGTCCCTAAATATAACCAGTTAATCGATAGCTTCAGAAATAGGTTACACTTTCAATGTTGTATACCCGTGTGTCGCACACCAGATTAAATTACTCAAACGTTTATAAAGTTCTTCTTTGACTCAAATCCTGCTTACTGTCAATCCGATGCGAATTATCGTCAATTTACAATCGTATTTAATATACATGTGATTATTTTTTTTTAGTAATTAAAAATTTTAATTTAATTTTATCCAAAAATTTGATTAATTATCAAAAAATTTATTAAAAAACTTTTTTAAACTGTTTATAAATTAATATCTTAAAAATTCATTTGAAATTAAAAAAAATTATAATTTTATAATTAAATAAATAACTTTAATTAAACTTTGATAAATTTTTCATCAAAAATTTATTCAATAATAGATAATAAAAAATTTAATTTTATCCAAAAATTTAGTGTAAAAATTTGATTAATTACCAAAAAATTTATTAAAAAATTTTTTTAAACTGTTTATAAATTAATATCTTAAAAATTCACTTGAAATTGAAAAAAAAAATCATAATCATAATTAAATTAATAACTTTGATAAATTTTTCATCAAAAATTTATTCAATAATAAATAATAAAAATAAATTTTTTTCTTAACTTTTAAAACTAAAAACTATCCGATAAAAGTTTAAAAATATTATTTTTTCATCAGAATTCAGCAAACAAAAAACACAAACACTGAAAATTGAATGTTTTGTTCGACAAAATGACTTAGAATATTATTTAAACAAATAAACAAAAAAAAAGTAACTTTAGAAACATGCGATCGAAAGTTTAATAATTAAACCCATTTGTTTGATGGACACTCGATTAGTAAACTCAGGTTATAGAATGTTACGAACGGTTTATCGGAGGGTCGCGGGATGCCAACCGATTAATGTGCGACACAGCTCACTGATCGATTCGCTTTGATCGCTCACCTACACGTCTGTTTGTGAGCGTTTATCCCTTTATTATAACACAGTACTACCACCAGTGATATATACCGAAGTGAGAATTTAAAGGACACACACACTGGCGTGAATAGACGTTACTAGTGGCGATACGAGTACTCAACACGAAAAGAGAATACTTTTACTTATTATATGTGTAGTGGGTTGTACTAGTTGCCTCGTAATCTGTATTTCTCCGGACATCCGGTCATGCATACGTCAAAGGGTGGTCAGTGTGTTGGCACTTGATTGATACCTTGTATATTTTAGTTTTCTTTCAGTGGTCAGCTCGGCAAAGACCAACAAAACTTAACTTGCACACACATGGGATAGATTGTTGATAGCAGCATGTGTGGGATTTCGATCGAAATTTATTCAAGGTTGATATTAAACTCTCTGTATAAATAAATCATTGAGGTTTAGTTACGATAAAAACCAGATTTAAATCTCTATCATGTTTACTGTTTATCGATGATAAAATAAAATAAAATAAATACAAGCAGAGTATAAGTATATAAGTACGTTAGAAAATTAGCGATCGTGTATGTAAACCAAGTATGGAGTAAAGATTGTAGACGGTGTGTCTTGCAAGTTAAATACAAATACCCGCATTTGCAACGGGCAACTGAAGTGCATGTACACACCTCGCGTGGGCCGTGAGTAATGCCGTCGTGTAAGTACATATAGAGAGAAGAGAGAAGAGAGAAGAGAGAAGAGAGACGGATCTTGTGAATCAAGGAAAAACTAATGGTCTCAAACTCTGTCTCTACTGTCTCTCCCTCGTTGTTCATAGGCGAAAGTCTTGTCTTTTGCCGCACTTTGGATTATATATTATATTTAATGCTTAATATAACATAATATATAATAAATAACAAACATAAATTCATAAATAAAATATACCTGGAGACTAATCGGTCCGGCGTGCCACCGCGGGTCCTAAGTCCCTGATTAATCACACAGGTACTTTTTTGTTATTTTTAATGTCACATTAACATTTTTTATTTTAGTTCTTTTTCGTGTCTCTGTTTATCTCGGGTTTTGTTTATGACACAGACTCTTTCGAAATACGTTTTAGAATTTATACATAATATGGACTTAAACACATTACATAGTGCATAATTATCTGTGTCTAGTGGAGGATAATGATAGGTGCTTTTTTATTTAACATGATTTATGTTTTGACGTGAAATTTGGACCGTGAAATTCTGCGAGATTTGTAGAATAAATTAATCATGAGGTCTGATTTTTAATAAATTGAATAGCCAGTCTCTACGATTGAAGCTTTATATTTCTCTTCTATTAGAGAAAGAAGAATTTTGAAAAAAACGCTCTGCTACGCAATAGATTTTTAACAATTGCATTGGTCCTTATGACGGAAATTTTGAAAAATTTTGCTATATTCCGACTTAACTTGACGAGCTGAGTTAGAAAATACATATGGTTCAAAAGTTTATATGTCGACGTTCTAATTAGTAAATTGTCTAACTTTGTTTTAGAAAATCTTCCAATCGTACGAAAAAAAAAAAAATTAGTTCAAAATTTATTATCACTTTAAAAAACAATTTTATATCTACTAGAGGTATAATATTTTGGTTTGGATCATTCAAATAATTTATAATTAGACTATTGCTACATCAAAATGTTAAAAAATCACCCTCTAAAACATAAGGAGTATATACGATACATCGCGGCTTGTCACGACGATAGCGTTGCATATTTACAACGGATCTTTACCAATTTCAACATACTTAGTCAAGTTCAAAGATGAGCTTAATTGGTCAAATAATTTAGAAATGCCAGAATTTCAAAATTTTCAAAATCTTAAAAATTCATTTTTCTACACATTCTTACTCAAATAAATTTTAATGGGATAACTTATTAAATCTCTGTAAATTGCATCTGAAAGCTCTTTCAATAAGCTCTAAATTTGAGTACCATATCATACGTATAGTCTCAAAATTATGTCTTATTTCGCTATGCCAAGTCTGAAATTTGCTGTTTCACTGGTTTTTTTTTGCATACAATCCTAGTATTTTTTTATGAAATCTACTTTCATTTCAACTGCCGAATGGTCTTTTTAACTATCTATTTCGTAGCCAAGCGTTTTTTTCGAAATTCTCATTTGTTTAAAAAAAAAACATTAAACTACAATAGCTTTATAATAAAGAATGCAACAAGGATAGTATCCTGTTTCTTGCATTGAGTGCAACGCGAGAGAAAAAGAGGGGATCTGCTATTAAATATAAGTTTTTTTGGTAAAAACCATAAATTCATTGTTTAAATTCCGGATAATTTTTTAACGCGATTCCTTATCGAATTTTTATGAAAACTTAAAAAAATAAATTTTATTTTAAATAGTATTTTAATTGCCGAATTTTTTATTTAGTTATGGATTAAATTTGATCAAATATCATATATCAAGATCAGACTAATTTTAAAATCCCTACAATAAAAATACATGACAGTTTGAAGTTAGTCAATAGTCGAAAAAATGGGACCTGATTCCTTATTGGTAGAATATAAACCCTCCTCAGTTACTATTGGTCAATCTCCTGGTACGTGAACATATCAATATATCGATATAAATCGAACAGGATAAATTCATTGGAGAATTTCGATAGGGGGCGCGCGAATGCGCGCCGTTAAAAATTCTAGTATAAATAAAAAATACCTGAGCCTCTTGATTATCCGTGTTTTCAGCTGGTTCTTCAGTGGGTTGAATGTGGGAATTCGGAGATGAAATTTCCAATGATTCAAGCATTTCTCCAGAACTCAATGAACTACTGATGTCTATAATTGACATTAAATAGAGTTAACAATGATTGATAGCTTAAATAAAATCAATTAAAAATAAAACACAATTTAATTACCGATGATTAAATCTTTCGGCCTTGAAAGTTTGGTCCTCGGCAATGTATCATCGACACCACTGCTGCTATCAACAGCTTCTTGGGAGCCTTTATCTTGATTTCTGGTCTGGGTGTAAACACTCTCTCTGCGAACCCAAACGTCAGTAGAATTTTTATCAGAGCGTGAATTTAATTTTGACGGACGCCTTCGTATTCTTTCCCAAGTTTCTTTGCGACAACATTTGTTGTTAATCAACGCTGCGTGAAAAATAATTAACAATTAATCAAATAAAATCATAAAATATAACAAACAAAATGTGACTGTAAAATTTACGTTTGATTGAACGTCGATCTGTACTCCTTGGAGGGCTGGCGGTGCCAATTCCGCTTTCGAGTGGCGAAGCGCGGTCCGTATTATCAGGCGAAGTGCTGCCGGAAGAAATTTCATCAAGACTTTGCACGAGATCTTGAGAAGACGAGGACGACCTGTTATCATCGTCGACGGTGTCCTGAGGTGAAGCCGCTAGATCCAGGGCACTTTCATCTTGCAGAGAGTGATCGTCAACGTGGGATTCCGCTGAAAAATCATATTTTTTCATTAACTCTATAAGCTGGCACTGGTGATTACTGTTTCGGTGATAGTGATGATGAACGTGATGGTGATTGTGATCGTGATGGTGTTGAAGTTGGTGATCAAGCTCAACAACACTGTTCGTTGGATCGTGAATTAAAATACCTCGAGGCGAATCACAATCGCTGACCCACGTAAAACTCGAGCTGCGTGAAATCGCTGGGGATGTTTGGGTGGCCATATTCGAGCAGTTAAACGTCTCCATAGGCTGACTATTAGGGCAGCAAGACCCGCCATTGCGCAGCCGTGAAAATAATGCCGTTAATGATATTGGCAGCTAAAAATAAACGACAAAATTTAAATAAAAAATTTGGAAAATCCAAATGTGCATGCTTTAAGCGCTTGTGTTATTTGTAAATTTTTCAAAGTAGATAAAATATTAATCACAGAGAGAAAAAATATGATTGAAAAAAAAGTATAATTCAACTCAAGTTCATTTGAATTTTTCCACGTGAATCGGAGGAAAAAAAGTTTGGAAAATCCAAAAGTGCACGCCTCATAACGCTCATTCATTTTTTAAGAAAAAAATAAATTGTGTAATTGGTTAATAAAAAAAAAAATAATAATTAAGTAATTTCTTGCAGAGTATATTTTATTTTTTTTTTAAATATCGGTGCCCTTTTTTCTTGTCATGTGCGCGCGCAGTCTAAAAAAATCTAGTTTGATCAAGTGGCGCCATAGTTTTCACGTGAGAAATAAGAAAAGTTCGTTTGTCTTAGTAAAGTTGTATCGTAGTGAATTTTAATAAAAATTCAATTTAAAAAAAATACGTTAACTAGACTACTGATATGAAATACGGACCCAGTTCATCGAATTCTTAAACTAATAAAAAAAGTCCGGTCTTGAAATATCAATTTGTTTGGGAGTAATCGTTGGTACATCCAAAATTGGGTTACATCAGGACGTTTACGTAAATTTTTTTTCAAAATAGCAACATGAAATTATTTTAGAAAGTAAAAGATGGTCTAATTTAAGTGTTTTGTTAGTGTACATCTACTTATATTATTGTATAAGTGTAATATGGTCGTGATAGAGGCATTTAAAGATCACAAAATTGCTTGACCTTGACGAGTCGAGTATAAAGCACAACCTCACGCGCTTCGCGCTATGAGGCGTGCAATTCGAGACTACATTACCTACATTCAGTATAGTTTGAGCTACCTTCAAGCTGCATTTAGAATAAAAAATAATATATGGCTGCTAAAAGACAACAAAATTTCTCTCGAGACCAACCAAAAAAAATTTATTGTAATTAGACGAAACCGTTTTAAGCTACAGTTTTGTATTCCTTGTGTTCGCAAATAAATAACTAATTGATTTAAAAGAAAAAAGAGTGTAAAAATAGATTTTTACCAAAGTTATAGTGTTTACCCCAACAGCAATTTGCAAAAATGTACACTACGAGCACTTAAAAACCACTTTTTTTATTAAATTATGTAAAAATAGTTATTAAAAAAAAATTTTTAAATGATCAGTGATTATTTTTTCATCCGGCAATGTCATTTTTGTAGCATTTATATACATATTATGTCTGTCAAATACAAATTATTGCAACAAAACACGGGATCTTGATTTTTAGACGAGTAGAGCATACCTGCGCTCACGCTTAAGTCATGCAAAAAATAAATTCATGAATTTTAAAATACTGAAGGAGGATAAAATAAATACTCACGGATACAGATCGCGAGCTGTCATCATTGGGAGCTTTCCTGAATTCATTTTTAACAAATTTATCCGATTTTCCACTCTCAATACTGGTATCCGATGAGTTTTTTCTCCCGCTTGGTAAATCACAACCGACAGCAACGTCATTATGTCCGTTATTATTTAGCGGAAAAAAGGTTTTTAATTGAACTGGACTTATTTGACTGACATCTTTATCTGACTCGGATAATCTCTTGGCGGTGATATCCGATCTAAGTGTCAGCGGTGAAATAGCACGTCTCTTTTTCTTCATTGGGTGTCTATTAAACTCCTGATGATGATGATGATGATGATGATGGTTATTTTTATCATTGGTAATGTCCAGTAGATCTTGATCCGGTAGCGAGGATACTCTGACCAAAATTGCGTCGGTCATTCTAGCATTGAGATTGCAGCTGTTGCTGCAACTAGAGCTAAGCGGATATTTTTTCCGGAATAATTTTGAAAACGGGAGACTTTTTTCATCGGTCGGCGTCACTGGGGCTGAACGAGCTGTTGTATCAATAAACTGCAGCCGTAAATTAACTTTGTCATCGATAAACACATCATCGTAGTCGGCATCTGTTGTCTCTTCTTCGGTTCTTGATGCCGACAATTTTGATTTTGTTAATGAATTCGTCGACGATCTACATCTACGACTCATTGGACTTGAATTATTTTTACAATTGGTGTCATTAACCTGTCGCGGAGGCTTACAACAACACTTAACATCATTAACTGTACACTTACTATTAATAGTTTTATCAAAACCGTAATTTGATAATTTATTTGGCTGAACAATCTCTGAATTTTTATAATCTTTTCTACAATCAAGACTCGCTGGTAGACTAGAACTGTTACCCGACGATGATAACAATAATTTATCATCAGTTTTATGGGAACCAGTGTTACTTATTATTATTTTATTAGCATAGTCAATACCCGGCCAACTACCGCTTATTTTTTTGGCCTCCACCTCTGCACTTCTCTCCCCCTTCCCCGTTAAATTATCTTTGGACTCATTGTTATTGTTATTTATTGAAATTATATGGCTACTTTGTTTAACATTACTGTCACTAATACTATCTTCGCTAATTGATAATAATTGTTTGTCGTAGTATTCCGATGAATTATTACTGTCGGGACAACTTTCAGTACCATCGCTATCTAATAACCCAAATTCACTCAACAAATCGCGATATTCAATAACTGGAGTTGCTGTTGTTGTTGTTTTATCAATGTTAATATTATTCAACGCTCGGGTATGAGCGATCAATGGCGGTACGGCGACAGATAATGTTTTACTCGTCGGCGAATTTAATTTATTGGAAACTCGAGATGCCAGTTGTTGAGTCTCCGATTGTTTTGCTTGATTTCTGTCCAGAGATTCACCGTTTAAATTATCTTCAATAGTTATTCCATCTGATGAATTATTATCATCATTATTGTTGTTGCTATTGATAATCGTTGGTCCTAATTTTTTAACGGGAATCGAAGCTTGAATAGATTGTGATGGCAGCGACGTGACTATTATTTCATCAATTTCCTCCTGTAACAGAAATTTCATTCAAATCGTGTTAATTTATTCAGATATAAATCGATGGTTCAATTTTAACTTCAATTTAAAGTTCAATCAATTTTAATTGAAAATTAGAAAAGTGAAAAATAATTCAAGAAAATTATTTTCTTCTATCAAATTAATTTTATTTTTTATCAGTATCTAATACACCAAATTTAGATTTAGATTTAGATTATTTTATTTATGCCAAGGCCTATCGGCCAAATGGCAATATTTAAGATACAAATAAAAATAACATGTTAATAAAATACATCATTGATATTAGAAACACTGTAAAGATAAAATTACAATTTATTTGATAATGGATTTTTAACAACTATTATTATATTTTTAAATTTGGTACCATTAATTAGAATTTAAACAACAACTTATAAACCAAGTATAATTTAAGATTTTGTTATAATAACTATTATCACAGAAATTATAATTATAATTGATATTACATAAAATTAGCTAAAGATGACTAAATATACATAGAATAAAATTGTAGATTTACAATAAATTTTTTTGTGATAAAAAATTTCATTTTTAACATAACAATCAAAATTCACAATTTAAACTTTAAAATTGAACTTTGAACTGAATAAATAGAGAAATTATGAACTTTTTAGCGATAACACTAATTTTTATCAGATAGCTTTTATAATAAACTCTTTGCTTACAAAATCCCTTAAAGTGCAAACAAAATAGTAATTAACATGTAGCTTAAGTGATTCAGTAACTCAATCTCAAGATAATTATTCCGTTTATCTCACAATAATCGAGTTCCAATTAAAGCGGACGCGAAAGCGCAGACAAATCGAAAGCTCGTCTAATTGCCACTTTTGTTTTTTATTTTTTTTTAACCGGGAAGGGGACCACCATAATAGCTACAACTCTTTAATTAATACTTTATAATCACCAGGTTTACCGACGTGATGATGAATATCAACCACTCGGTTTAATAATAAATAAATTTTCTGAAAATAAAATCATATCGATAAGGAAATTTAATTTAAATTTAATAGATTTACTTTCACAAGACCATTCTGGTATTTTCATTATTATTATTATCATATACTTTTTTTCCATGATGTCAAATAAGAACAAACGGTATGTTTACTAAACTAATAACTAGTGATCCTTGGCCCCGCTTTTCAAATCACACATGTTCGATAGGAAATTAAAGCAGTTTTTAGATTTCACAACCTCGATTGATTATTCGAGGACATTGTTTATAAATAGAATAACAGAATTTTTCTATTTTTCAATGCGGGTATTTCCTTGAAATTAAAAAAAAATTTTTCTTTTTTTTTTTTTTTTCAATTTATTAGAAGTTTAAAAAAAATTAAAAACAAAGTACAAGTACTAAATATCTTTGAGCATGCAAGTGATGTCATCTTTAAAGAACGTCAAACTTTTAATTGAGTTAATTTGCGAAGTGCCGCTCAAATGACCGATGACATTTGTAGTTGTTCGCTTGCAAAAAAAAAAAAAAAGTACTAACAAAACCTCCGTCTATTACTCTCTCGTGTAATGTTTATTTTAATGTTGATTAATCATTTAATAACGGTGCGATTATGAAAGAGAATGAACGTAACCGGGTGATTAAAAATGAAAATGTAATAAATAAATAAATAATAATAATAATAAAAAGGCAAGCTAAAATGAAAAATGAAAAAGGTAAAAGTAAATTATTTTAAAAAATAAAATCCTTTCTCTCGGAATAATATTATCATGTACGACGCACCTTGGACGAGGTACATTCTCTCTCTTTCATAGCTGGCTTCCTCACTCCAATATAATTTAAATTCCAGCGTGGCCGGTGGCGGTCGACGTCCGCGATAAACGTTCGCGACATTCATCATCGGGTGAGCTGCCCAGGATTGAACGTATCAATCGAATTAAAAGTTGTTTATTCACCGTCGTTATTATAGATACACAAATAAAAATACATTTAATATAACATAACATACATATATGTATATAGATGTACGTAAGCGAGCATCTGGCCTCACACGCGTAGGTGGGATTAAATGACTTGGACACATCTATTAAGAATCACGCCTCAATCCACCGTCAATTATAATCCCATAATACTTTATTTTATGAATTACTTATTTTATGTTTTATAATTTATTTAATTTATTAACAAGAAAAATAATTAAGTCAATTACTCATTCTCATAATTCATTAATTAATTTCAATTAAATTAATTATTTTTTTTTTAAATTACAACATAAGTAATAAGCTAATAAGCAATAAATTAATGGATCGTAATAAAGTTTGACAGATTTTTTTATTTTTCACGTGAATCACGATAACAGATAAAGTAATCGATTTATAGTTTCACTTTTTTATCCAAACCGGCACATGCAATCGATTATTCGGCTTTCGATCACCGGCACATTCATTAATTAGATTTTTTTTTTCTTACTATTTAGTGAAATTTTTCGCGGCAATTTTTTAAAATTTTTCATTCGAGATATAAATTAATCGCAGTATTAGGTATTAAGTACTAAGTATCGTGGCAATGAAGTAACTACATATACAATGTTTACATTCCACGAGAAACGACGCGGTGGAACTGTTAAATTATAACCGCATGTGGGTCTCCCTGACGCTCTACTCGATCCTCCTTCTCCATCGTATCGGACTAAACGCTCATATAATGTCCAAGTAGTGGAGGAAAAGAAACAGCTTTTATGTTGTTTCCTTCATGGACTTTTGTTCGCCAACGCCTTGAGAACGTGGTTTGTATGTGTATATGCTCAAGAATTTTTTAAACTTTATAATAATAATAATAATAATAATGTTGATACATAATAGGTATATTAAGAACTGTATAATCGTTTGATATCATTCATTTGATATTTATATTTTTTTACCTTGTGATTTAATGTTTACTCAACTGTTGGTCTAGCAAACAACGGGGGACCGAGAGAAAATTTGATTATCATTTTTTTTGGTATTTTTGTGATAATCTGAATAATATTTTTTATTTTTTACAAAAATTTCTTGGCTCAAGAAAATTTTCAGGTGCCTGAAGGAAGACCAAAGTTGTGTTGGCCGAAGTAAAAATTTTTTTTTTAATTCTATTCTTGGTGGAAGTAATTTTTTCTTAATTTGAATTATCATAAATATTTGATACAATATATTTTTATATTTGATCAAGATTTTTAGATACTTTAGAGATGCAGCGCAACCTACTTCAGCTGAGAAAAAAATTTTCTCACCTTCAGAAAATTTTTCTCTTGAATATTTGATACCCATTTTATATTATTTTAGCGTGCAATTTATACATATTAAATGAAAAAAAAATGATTCAATATTATTTGATCTTCCCATTTGACATGTTAATCAACAAAAATATTAATGAAAATTTACTTCTATCTTTATATTTAATTTTTTGGAGCAAGAGAGAAATTTTCTCCAGACAAGAAAATTTACTTCTATCAAAAACTAAATTTTGTGGAGCAAGAGGCTGAATTTTCTCAAAACAACAAGATTTTCTTGACTTAAATTTTCTTGGATCAAGATACGTATTTTTCAAAGCAAGAGAATTAATTTTGTTGGAATAAATGAAATTTCTTATCAAAAAAAAAAAAATTTTTTTTCGCTCAAAAAAATAATTAGGAAGAAAAAAATTTTCTAAGATCAAGTCAACCTTTTTTTCTGTGTAAAGATTTTTTTATGTGAAGTGGGCTTAGTTTGTAACCCCGAAACATTGAACACGAGGTATGACACCGTAATAACTAAAAAATGAGATCTTAACTTTGGTAATGGTAGGAATTAATTAATGTACTTGGAAAAAAGAGACTTGAAATTTTAATAACAACGTCAGCTGGTGAATAATGGATAATATTTAAAGATTTTTTGAATTTAAATATTACTTTGCAGAGAAAAAATTATAGATTTTGTAGAACTCTACGACAATTTGTTTATTATTTATATTTAAATTTTATTGAGTATGATAAATAAGATTGAATTTATCTGTTAGCTAAAAAATATTATAATAAAAAATTTTCTATTTATAAAAAAGTCTTGTAAGTTTGTTGTTTAGAATTTAGAAGATAATCATGAAAAAAATGATTGAGTATTGTTTTTATTCAAATGTAAATTTTATTGTCTGATAAAAAATTAAAAATAAAATTACTATCTGTAAGTTTATAAATGTTATCATGATAACGAAAAATTGTTTTATTCATTAGAAAAAAAATAGTCTGTTGAAATTTGTTTAAGAATACAAGTAAGCATTAAAGTGTCTAAATAGATATTATGATTCATGACTAATAAAGAGATGTTATTCAAAGAAAAGTTATTTTTTCCGACTGATAACATCTACTTCCGTTACAGAACATCACAATAAGGGAGCGTTGAAATTACTCACTGATTAGTAATCCTTACAATCGAATAATCATAATAATAAGATCTGTGATACTATTCATATTATTAGATCCAATTTAAATAAAAAAAATACTTTTTAGACTTGTCTGAAAATTTTTTTTGGCCTTATGAAAAAGCGGCAAGACTTGAGAATAGAATTACGTCATATAATAAAAAAAATAGAGCAATAATAAAAACTAATTTAAAAAATTGGAACGTTTTTTATTGAAACGAACATTAAATTTAAATGATGATATTTAATTATTAAAAAGTTTTTCTTTTAATAAATATCATTCAATTCATGACAAATTCTTGTTCATTGTGTGGGAGTATTTTTCCACTCTCGAAAATTTTTCGTCAACCACTGTACTCTCTGGGCCATAAAATCCCTTCCCCGGCATTCAAGGGGCTCATGACGTCACAGGACCCCAAGAACAACGCTGAGTGTTAGCAAAGGCTAACACCCTCAAGAGTCAAGGGGCATGAGGCAGATTTTTCTCAGCCTCTGAGATACACACATCTACGGTCTAGGACACTGGTCCTATTTTCCTTTATTTTACTTATCGTATCATTGTAATCGCGAAGTACTATCTTGACATTATTATTTATACACGAACTATCTATTGTATCATTTACTGATAACTATATTCTACGGGATTGATTATTTATTGTGAGATTTAATTAACTTCATTCGAATATTGTAAAGAGTATAGTTATAACTTGAATAAATTATAAAACTAAAGAAATGGACTACTACAATTGGGAATATGTATCTCCATTTTTGAAATTGATAAAAATTTATCCAGCAAAAGAAGGCCAACTTTTTGTGTCAACAAATAAAATTAAGTAAGAACAAGATGAAATGTGGATGTAAAAATAAAAACCTCCCGAGAATTTAATAACTGAATAAATAAATTTTTTATTAAAAAATTTTGATCATATTATAAAAAAGTAATTGTCCAATTATCCATCAACGTTTGTTTTTTTTTTTTTTTTTTTTTTTTTTTCTCTGGAGCCAGGCAGAATTCACATTTTGAAACGTACCCTGAATGATTAGAATCTAAGATTCAGATTCATTCAGATTCATTTTATTTATGCCAAAGCCTGCTGGCCAGATGGCAAGTTTTACAAAAGTACAAAATTTTATAATACAATAAAAAGAAAATTATACACAATGATTGTAAACTTATAAAAAAGCTATCGCTGGAAGCTATCATCATTATTAACTAATGCTGTAGTGACTAGTAACTTAAAAACTATCTAAGTACCAAGAATAACCACTAAAAATTAATTAAATTTAAGAGATCAAATACATCATTTAATTTAACCATATTCTTATCTTGATTTATCACGATCTAATATTACTAACCATCCAAATTAAACAGATAATCATACATCACTTTCAGAAGTGATTTTGTTGGAATAACTTTTAAACAACTCTACCGATCGATTCCAAAAACTAATAAGCTCTCAACCTTGAAAAACCACGTCGATCGCCGCCAATCCGGTCTAAATCGGTTGATTCGTTCAAGAGATATCGTGCACTGATAGAAGGATTTCTTAACATTTAAGAAGATTTCTTTGTATTTAAGAAATGATTTCTTAAATACAAAGAAATCTTCTTAAATGTTAAGAAATCCTTCTATCAGTGTAATAAAGGTTAAGTTGTAATAGTA